TAGGGGCTATGTCCTAGCCTACGTAGAGGGTCGAGGGGGCACATTATTATTCATAGTAAAGTATGTTATTTTACAGTCGTCGGTATTGATGCAAAGTTTATATTATATTTTTATAGATTATAGATAGCTGTGTTGCAGGAGGGAAGAGGGTGAAGGCAGTGCCGGTTTAAGGTAGTTCGCTGCCCGGTGCTGCTACAGACACAACAACCCAAAAAAGAGCCTGCCGCAGGCGCCGCCGGATGCATACTGTCGTAGGCAAACAAATTTTTGGTGCCTTGAACTTTTTTTTGGGCCTATAAACGGTATTTTATATTGATATTTCTACAAACTTGCTCACGTCGTGAGTCATGAGTAAGAAACTTAGTATTGGTACATACCTATATAAAATAAAAAACGAAAAATTATAAACATAACAAAAAATCTTTATTCTTTGATTTAAATAAGAAATATTATTAAAAACTAATCAAAATCACCAAATAAAAAAGTATTATTTGGTTTGAATAAACAACAGGTACGAAGAAAAACTAAATAGGAACACTAACTAAAAAATAAAACATTATTCTTTGGTTTAAAATAATAAGAAACACCAATCAGTAATCACAATCATTAATAACTGAAAATAAAAAATTAGAAACATAAGGCCTAATAACAAAAAGGTTGTTTTCTAGCTTCCATTGAAGATCTCTGATTGAAGCAAACTGCTGAATAACACTATAAACATCTATTTCATTTAGCAGGAGCAGGTCTTGGTTAATGAATAAAATTGCCAAGGAATTCAATCTTTCTTGGGCAATTGAATTTCTTAGGTAAGTTTTGACCCTTTTTAAAGTAGAGAAAGAGCGTTCACCACTTGCATTTGACACCATTATGGAGAAAAAAATGCTCAGACAAATATTAACATTCTTTTACATTTGTCAGAGAGCTGTACGCTCGCCGCGCGTACCGCCCTCAAAAAGTTAACCGTCCGGTGCTATGGCACCCAAAAACCCCTGTTAAACCGGCACTGGGTGAAGGGTTCAATGAAAGCCATGGAAAAAAATATTCATTATTTTTCGACGGCCACCCTGTATCATAAAACGATAAATCACATGAATAACAGCCGTACAATATACGAATGGAATTCTACGAGAATTATCATCAACGGACTGCGATAAAACACCACTTCCGCCCTTCGCTACGACGGTTCTCATGATAGAAGAAAACACTCAATTTCAATCGTTAAATACTGCAGTTCAAATGTTTTCCTCCATGCAAACTTTCATTTATTTTGGAGTGAATTTTGCGAGTGTGTGTCAGCAAGACGGCAAAAGGCTGAAACTGAGGAGTTTCAAACTGCAAACTGAGGCCGCAACAGCTCAAAGAAGGACGAGGGGCGGCCGAGAGAGAGAGGCGGTGTCATCATGGAGTAGGAGTCGGGAGAGGATGGATGACCCCCACCCCTCCACCCTACCACGTGACTCGGCTAGCCAATCAGAGAGCAGCATTCCCCACCCCTCTACTTTTGTCGACGGCACGAACTTCAAGTCTAGATAGTCTGAAAATGGCGCGAAATTCAAATTGTGTGACGTCATGGCATCATCATCGTGAATAAATTAAAAAAAACCTTCACCGCTGGGGATCGAACTCGGGACCTTTGCATTATGAGGCAGCGTATATACACACTGAGCCATTCAGGAGGCCATGAAAGTTTCACTATGAAAACCGTATTCAAATGGGATCGTAGAGGATCAGCGAGCAAAGCTATATATAGGTTGATAAGACGTTTGTACTACTTTTGTCGACGGCGCGAACTTCAAGTCTAGAAAGTCTGCAAATGGCGCAAAATTCAAATATAGATAGTCGCCTGCATGTTATACATTATTCGTATGATGACGTCATCGTCGATCCAATTTATATTTAGAATTGAATAAAAAAAGTGTTGGGTCTGTGTTGGGAATCGATCTCGGGTCCCCGAGTCTCGAGTCCGCAGCCATCAGAGCCACGACCACCACATGATATTAATTATAGTTTGGAATGTTACATGCAGCATTGGAGCAGACCGGCAAGCACAAGATCCCTTACGATGATTACGCTATGCAACATTGTTGTTGCGATTACCACGCGCGCATTCCGGTAGATTGAAAATCCTTATCGCAATTAACGAAATAATATAAATTATGATGAAATATTCACATAAAGTTGTTATTCTGTATGCCGTCGCTGGCGCGCGCTTATCTTTGCAACGGATCTGTAGAGGTAGAGCAAAGCGAGAGATGCGTTCCAGAGATAAGAAACTTCGAGTCGAAAATAATATCCATCGCTGGCGCACGCTTATCTTTGCAACGGATCTGTAGAGGTAGAGCAAAGCGAGAGATGCGTTCTAGAGATAAGACGGTATTATATCGAAATAAATTTATGGTGAAATATTTCTATGTTAGTTTTATCGACAATATACACACAACACCAAATGAAGCTTCCGCTGATAAGAGTCGTGTGCAGCGATAACCGTCACATTGTTGGAAATTATTATTTATGAAGTCGATAAGGTGTTGTCAGATTTTCAAAAAATATCTGATGTCACGTAATACATGACATATGACGTATGACAGATGGTGTTTGCAATATGATGTATGTGGGGAGTGGAAGAATGCGAAAACAATTTTTTATTATACTCAGAATATAGAAACAATCAATAGACTTTTCTTCTCCTCTTTCCTCTTGAACCCTCACACTTGACTGGATGTGTACGAGAAAGAGAGGGAGAGAGAGAAAAGAGGAGAAGAAGAGAGAGTGAGAAAGATTGGATGGATATTAGTTGAAGGTATGGATGTAAAAAACAGTTGTATCATGTCTTCTGACGAATACAGACGTGCACTAGAAGAATTTGGGTTGAAAGTTAGAAAGCTCAGTGCAGACATCCAATTGTATGAGCAGAAAGTAGACCTGTTTAAAGATTTCGAGCAACTGAGCGTTTGGGATAAGGTGTTCGCAGAACCGAGACGCACAGCTACACCTACATCGAGAAGAATCCAACCAACATAGCTACTAGATGGCGATACTGAAAGCAAGCTTCATTCTATTGACAGCTCTGAGCAACAACGTCTTCTACACAAACATACCGTACAATACGAGGAATGTAGCCGTATGTTTTGATGTGAATCGTACACAACAATGTGATTGGAAGATGATGAGTAGAATGTATGTCAACGATAACAAACTATCTGTATATTCAATCGACATGCCACAACATGTTAATGAAAGCAGCATCGACTATAAATTGAAATTATCGTTTTCTGATGGCAGTGACGGCGAAATGGGAGACTGGCAGACACTTGCATTGAAAAAATCCTCCGCAAAATTGGATCAAGATACTGTCAATGTCATTGAAATTTTGACACTTTGTTGTACACTGATATGTTCACTTATTTTAATCTCAAATGTTATTGTTGGAATACTGAGAAATAAGGGATGTGATGAATAAAAACTCTGAAATTATTATATATTTTTTTTATTTTGGTAATAAATTACATAACCAATTATATAAAGTATCGACATTGTGGAGACTGCACTGGAACCTTCCTCCATGGAAATGATTCATGCAGGGTGGAATGGATTGTAGGAACGTTATTGGCTGCCACCAAGAATTGTCAAAATCTTCCAAATTGACAATGTGATTGGTCATCTCCAACTCTGCACATTTTCGCTGCAAAAACTGAATCTTTTGATGGCCTCTTACGTAGATGATGTTTGTCTGCTGCAGGTTATCTCGTAGTATTTGATCCAACTCATTCAAATCCACATAACCACAGGAATATTTTAAACCATGAACGTAACGTTCCACATGATTCACCATAGTAGAAGGGGCGGCGGCCGGACGAGACAGCCAGCCCAGCCGCTCAGACGCCCCAGCCGCTCCGCGCAGACGCCCAGCCGTTTTTATTTTAATTTTACCCCCACTCCTTGTATTTTGGGTTCACAATTTTTGCATTAGCAATGGTCTTAAGTGACAGCGTAACATATTAGGGTCAGCAATGACGTCAGACCCCAATATTCGGTAAATTAAATATTATCATGAAAGATGTGATGAGATAAGAGTTGTGCCATTGAGATAGGGTGTGGTCATCGGGGGATCATCGGTAGGCGAGATCGGTAGAAGTCAGTAATGAAAAGATGTTGAGATAAGAGTTGCACCGCTGAATATGGGTGTGGTCATCGGGGATCGTCGGTAGGCGAGATCGGTAGAAGTCGGTAATGAAAAGATGTTGAGATAAACTCGAAGCCGAGGTGTGGTCGTCGAGATCGCTAGAAGTTGGTCGTATTCGTAAAAATCAAGATGTTGAGATAAGAGTTGCACGGATGTCGCATGAGATCGGTCGCCACCAGATTTTTTAGTAAAATGTCCACAGCTCGATGACAGCGTAATAGGTCATGCGATGACGTCACAGAAATATTTCCCCAAAATTCCATAATGAAAAATTAAAAATTATGAAATGTGGTTTGAGATAAGAGTTACACACATAAGAGCCGCGTCGGTAGGCGAGATCAGTAGAAGTCGGTTTGAGCGAAAATGGATGTATGAAATATTGCGGTAAAGTATGGGCAGACGTCGCCTTGGTATTTCCACTCACAATTCTGCATATTAACACATCGGTCTTCAAAATAGATTTTTATAAATATTAGCGCAGAGTATGTAGATAGGAAAAAAAAACGTTTCGTTACTATGTATACGTACAATAAGGTCTAAAAAGGTATTTGTGGTCGAGAGCGATAAGAGCGCGCTCGCGGTTTTGTTGAATGGAAATTTCGGTGTGTAAAATAGTTCGAATTATAGAGTGGTTCGTTAGCGTTGTTCGTTAAAGGTGTTAAAAAAATCAACCCCATTTTTCATTTTATCCAGTAAATTTGACATTCACACATCCTCATCGGTTGCAATATGGTGAAATTATAGGTATCTTGGCTATTACGTTACACATAAATTAAACACAAATTTTGTTTTATTTTATTTATTGAATACAAGAGGACTAACATGATTGTCCTGCTATTAAATTTTCTATTTGTTGCTGAATTTTCATTTTATTATTCATCACGATATCGTGTGTGGGGGTATGAATATTGTCTTTCTCAATATAGGTATGGCGAGGCGCTAAACGGCGAATATTCCTTCTTCTTTTAGGTGGAAACAGTAACGATATAATATTTCGGTACTTCCATGAGCTGTTGGCGTTCACTGGACCATCTGATTTGTATTTTTGTTTGTGGGCATTGGTTAGTATCAAAATATTTTTGTAAACACCCAAGTCTTTGGCTGTATAATTTTGGGGAATTCGTTTCAATAATAGTTGGAGTAATCCAGGTGTAAGATTAAAACGTTTGTTTCGTACACCTAATTTATCGTTTTCGTATTGTACTGCAGTGTTGCCAATAACATATCCATCCTCAAAACGGAGGCCATAAGTATCGCACTCGATCGTTCTTTCTTGATTTGATCTCTCCATATATCTACTATGCATACTCTGTGACATATTGCTTACAACTGAATTCGCTATACTCCATCATACCTATATATATGCTTAACCGCCACATACTGTGACAACCATACCCACACTGTGTTACGCGTTACGTGACGAACACAACCATACCGTCAAGCGTTACACTAACGTTGCGTGATGAACACAACCACACTGCGTTACGCGTTACGTGACGAACACAACCATACCGTCAAGCGTTACACTAACGTTGTGTGACGAACACAACCACACTGTGTTACGCGTTACGTGACGAACACAACCATACCGTCAAGCGTTACACTAACGTTGCGTGACGAACACAACCACACTGCGTTACGCGTTACGTGACGAACACAACCATACTGTGTAACGCGTTACACTAACGTTGCGTGACGAACATAATCATACTGTGTTACGAGTTACAGTAATATAATGTGACAAACATAGCCATAGTGTAACATACCCATACTGTGTTACGAGTTACAGCAATATACCGCTACAAACATAAACATACTGTGTTACGTGTTACACGTACCACATAATACATAACCATGCTGTGTTACGGGGTTACTATGACATAACCATATGGCGTTAAACAAAATTGTTACGTGCAATATATTTTGTGCGCTAAGTGTAATTGATAAATACTATACACCACGTAATCATATTGAGTATTCTTCCCCAAGCAAGACGATTTCATTGGTTGGAAACATGTTATTCATTATAGCATAGTTTTCTAATACACCAATGAGACAACCTGTATAGGAGCCACCAATGTGTAGGAACTTCAATTGAAACATCAAATATCCATTTTATTTACAACAAAATTTCAAATCTTTAACATATGGCCACTCGGTATAAGTTGGTCGAAACGAGCTTGTTGAATCGTCGTAATAAAATTATCAAAGGAAGTCTTATTCCGGTGAGTTTGGCGATACTGACATCGCCGTGGGTTATTCGAGTAGTGCTCTTACATTTAGATTGAAGTGAAAAAGTGTTTTTAAAAAGGTAAGTGTTTTTAATTATGCATGGAACATTTGGAGTGAAAATACAGACGATTATGTGACATATTTTTCTCTCGAGAAAGGTGAATAGTTTACATTAGCTTGGCAAGTATATTTTGCTTCGAATTCATATACAGAGCGAGGAATTTTATATAATTGGTGAATTATAGCTTGAAAACAAAGGCTAACATTTAATGAATTCATAAATGTAATTATGAGATTAACATTCATAGGTCAATAATTGAAAAAATCACAAAAAGGGTTGAGATTTGATAATAATCTTTCAAAGACGTGCTACCAACAAAAGAATATTTGGGGAAAAAAGCATAAATGGTAAAACGAAATACAGGGTTGTGGGTAAAACGAAATACAGGGTTGTGGGTAAAAAAATAATTGAAAAAATCACATTTCAATGGAGAAAAATTCAATAATCCGCTCGTTGAACCTACAAAGAATATTTGAAAAAAAACATTGCGCCGGTAAAAACGAAAAATTTGTTGTAAATCGACACAAAAAAAAGGAAGGAATGTTAAAGGAAAGTTAATAATTGAAAAATCGCATTTTAATGGAGAAAAAGTTGAGAAAAATTCAATCTTTCAAAGACGAGTATTAACATAGCACCGGTAAAACGAAATACAGGGTTGTAATATAGTTGGAAATTGACAAAAAAAATCACATTTTAATGGAGAAAATTTAATAATCTGATTGTTGAACCTACAAAGAATATTTGGAAAGCATAAAAGTACCGGTAAACGAAAAAATTATACAGGGTTGTGCTATAGGTGGAAATTGGCAAAAAAAAAGGAAGGAATGTGCTTGTTAGTTAAAACAGGGGAGACCAAACGGGAAGGTAAGCACTTCTCCCCCAGGAAAAAAGGATTATCATTATTGAAACCAACAAAATATATACAAGTCTCTCATTGCCTCTTTTATGATCCCCTTAACATCACGAACGCTGATTTCTAAATTAATAAAAACGGTTCTTTAATTCGTCGAGGGGCGTGAATTGGGTCTTTTTATTGCCTCTTATGACTTTGTATATGTTTTTCCAATAAACAGTTCATTGGTGTCTTATGACTTTGTATACGTTTTTCCAATGAACAGTTCATTGGCGTGGGTTTTTGGGTCTTTTTTCGTTTTATTTGCTGATTTCTATAATGATTTGAGGAGAGGATAGTGGGGGGTGGGAGCCTTGAAAAAGGCTGTTTTATTGTTCTACGAGTGTCAAAAAAAAATGAAGAAATTTTGTGAAAAATTACATTTTAGTTTTTTTATAACCATAAGGTACAGAGTCATAATCATTGATTCGTTTTCTTTTGGTGAAGTTGGTACGAAAAACTTTCGTCACCTCCTTAGTAACAATCGTATGATCGGGGTTTCTCAGAATATTTTTGGTAGTAATATATTCCTCAGGTGCTTCATTAACGATCATGTCTCTGAGTTTTTCAAAATTCACTTTAGAATGCGTATCGTAGTTCAAGGTAATTCCTTTAACTTTGATTATGTCTATAGTTTTATTTTGTGACGTGGAATATACACGATACGCATATAATTTAGGACCTCCAGAGACAAAATCGGTAATGTAGCTACCCTCGCCATACTCTTCCAACTCGTCAGTCAATTCACCTAGAAAACTACCTATAGGAACTTCATAGTGATTGGGTCGTGAAATATAAATGGCAGAATCTGTATCGTGATACAAGACCCTGTCATCCAATTTTTCCAAATAACTGTATAATTTTAGCCTAGCTTGAGCCGTGGTATATGCTGCCAAAACTACATTTACTGTTGGGAGAATATTATAAGATTCTTCTTTAAATTCCCAATTAACTAGTAAGGCGTTTTCATTGACGGGAAATATGCTATTCACTATAGCGAAAGGTCTTGATAGAATATCGAATAACTCTGCACTGTCCGTCACAACCGAAGTTTTCTGCATATTTTCCCTCTGCCCCAACTTCCCCCAGAAACTGGTTATGACGGTTTTCCCAATTTGTCTACGCCCCGGGTTATGCTCTATTTCTTCAGCACACAAAACAACGCCCTCTTTTTCGAAATATTCCTGAATATAAGCTTTTTTCTGCTCGTCAGACACACAGTGTGACGGCCACCCAGAAGCCTGTTGTTTGATTTTCAAAAATTTTGAAATATATTCGGAAAAGAGACCGCCCGACTTAGTCGTGGGGTCGTATTGAACAATTTCGTATTTCCATATCTCATAAATCTCCATAATTTTGTACCCTTTTGACAAAGCTTTTAAAACCTCGTCTATTACCCAAGTACCTAAGAGGGCGCGTTCTTCTTCAAAAATGTGTGTGCATTCACTAGCCATTTTTTCACAGCATGCACGACATAGAGGAAACATTAATTTATTATTCATTTTAATTGGTAGCACGGGGTGATAAAGATTCTGGGGAGGAAGAATTTTACACTTTATTACCCCTTCGGTTTTATCCAGCTCTAATTTATTACATTCAGCTCCAACAAAAACTTCAGGATGCCCCACAGGGTACTTCCCATATTTGTTGATATAGGGGTACAAACTGCAAACATCCACGTATTTAATTTTTTCGCCATCCTTGCATTTATAATACAATTTTGTGGCATCTGTCCTACCACCATAAAACGCGGCGCGAGGATTCAAAGGTGATTGAGAAACATACGGGTTATTTTCGCTAAATTCGCGCAATGCGGGGTTTTCCGAAAGTTCTTTACGGAACGTACACTCCCACTTCTCAATGACCTCATAGCCTAGGGACCGCAAATGAGCAGTTTTAGCTAATGTTGCTTCGTAACGCGCTTCTGTGGTAGTTGTAGGGTCTTCGAAAACCTGATTATCACGCCTGTATTTTATGCATTTCGGGCAGCCATGGAAATAACAGCCGTGGAATTCAAAAATTTGTTTGGTCTGCTCACAAAACCCGTCCACGTGATGGTTTGCGATAATAACCTCGGGACCTTTTCCTGCATGTTGTATTGCAACACCACGCTGTTGTTCCTCCCACACTAGCCATTGAACAGCTATTTTTGACTGATTATCACGCCACCTGTAACCGTTCTTTGGTATGAGGCCTATAGTGTTTGGTTTCAGGAAATTCCTTCTGAATATTTTATTGCAGGTACCAGGTAATGTGATGGCTTCCGTGAAGGGGTCAACACCCCCTTCTTGTAGCATAAGTTCTCTGAACTTGAGACATGCTCGGGATAATATATCCACATCACTCACACAATATTCCACAAGTTCCTTTTGGAAGTCAAAGACATACCCCTGCTCGGATAGTTTGGTGTGCCAATCTATAAGCTGTTTCCGGGGGTCTTTGTCTTCATCGAGGGTGGGTGTATATTTGATAGCTTCCGGATCATAATATTCCAAAGCAGGTAATGGTCCGACATAATTCCAGTTTTCAGCCTTGTTAAACCTGTGTGGAAAGCACCCTTTCTTTATGTCTTTTAAACCGAACGCTTTTGGTAATTTTGCCAGAGGCATCGGAAAATAATTGAGTGAGTCAATGAACTTTACATTGCCCACAGACATCAACATCAACTTTGTTCCTTGGGTTATGAGCTCTGGTTTGAGATTTGTCGATGTCAGTATGTAATTCAGCATGAACTGGTTATCATACAAACCCCCAGCATGTCCAATAACAATAATTTGTTTGAATTGTACACGCTGGTTCATTACATACTCTACAAATCTATCTACAGGGTGAATTCTCAAAACCTGCTGTCTAACGCCACAACAACAAACTTTTATGTCTGTACCTATGCAATTTTCACAATGCTGGCGGTACACACACAAGTTGGGTTTATGCAACAATGAACCATCAGCTAGAGGTTCTTCTTGGGTACTTTCCAAGTCGTAAAAAATGAAAAGTATTCCAGACATTGATGGTTTGCCCGTATCCACAGGCATGAAACAGTTATGCGGAGAGGGTTTATGTGCTCTGCACACTTTACAAAACACCTCTCCGCAAAAATGAATTCTGTCGGCCCCGACGATTTTATGACATT